GGTGGAACCGGCTTGGTGCATCGCGTCAACAGGTTGCGGAATTCCGATTCCAGGGACTCCTTCCCCCTCTCAAACAGGGATTTCTGGAGGAACAAGCGGTGAGGGGGAAAACAAACATGATGCTTCTACAACCACTTGTAGACATTGGAAAGATCCCACAACCCAGAGAAACTCCAACACCCACCTCAAAAACCTAACGGGGCCTGCTGTGATGAGAGTTTCAAAGGAAAGGCACCGAATAAAACATCCAAATGTCACACTGCATTCCTTTAGCTGCTAGAGTTGAAAACCTGAACAGAAGCTGAAAGGCAGCACCTCTTCCATGGGAATGATCAAGGCTTTGACCTGGAGAGGGCACTCTGCTCTCTCACTGCTACAAATCCATCAAGTTGAGTGTGATTACATGGTTGTAACAGCAGAACCTGACCCCTGAATAAAGAAGTCATGACATGGAGAAGAAAAGGCAGTGGCTGCAGCTGGTACAATTTTCCATCCTTTTCTTCACATCCCACTTATTTCTGATCATTGTAAGACTGGGATACACTGGTTCTGAAAGTGTCCCACAGCCCAGGCAGTTTAACGGAGACCAGTCTGCCACAGGGGAAGGGAGAATCCAAAATACAGGATTAAAAAATAGTTTAGTTCCTTCCTTGGTTCCCAGCAGTTCTTCTGCTATGTCAATGTTAGCAGCTGTGGTCTCAAAATACCTGAGTTAGAGATTAATGCTTCACACTGATAAAAGCCTGGATTGGAAGCTGCTTTCAAATTTAACTGTTCTTGAAATAGCAGCTGTTTAAATAATGCTAGGGGCTAGAGCAGGAGAATTGGGGCTAGCAGGACACTGCATTTGATATTAATTTAAAGTTTGATGGATACTACAAGCTGACAGGCTGAATGCCACCTGCTGTACTAACTGAGAGGGAGGCAAATACTGATGTTCCCATTTGCAGATGGAGATGCGAGGCCCAGACTTCATGATTCATCCAAGGTTATTTAGGAAGCCTGTGGTAAATGGAGGCGGGGGTACCAAACACAGGTCCTGTTAGACCATCCTTCACATGCATATTAAATGGACCACCAGAGCTACAGGCTAAGCCAGTGGTGCTCAAACTTATGGTTTCATGGGGTTTGTTTGTGGGTCAGTCTGCAAGCCAGACCCAGCATGAGGTTGGCACACGGGTCAATCAGCAGGTATGACTAAGTAAATCAACCTGGCCCTGCATCCTGGATCAATCCCCAGAGTGACACCATGCCCCAGTATGAGGGGCTGCATCGCTCCACAGGGCTCCCCACAAAAGTCTGGAAATTTGGTGGCAGAAATTTCCTGAACACTCCCCTGCTGCCAACATTTCTGAACCCAGGGGGAACCCATGGGCTGGATGGTATTGCCCTGTGGGCTGGATTTGGCTCATGAGCCTGAGGTTGAACATCATTGAGCTAATTCATTGGTACTCAAAAGGCATCTGGAGGATTTAAGCCCTCCATTTACATCTGGTGCAAACTCAAAGCACGCCACTGCTTGGACACCTTGGCAAGCTTGCTGTGCTTTCTGAAAGATTGCAAGTCTTGGATTCTACATTATGGAAAATGTTCTGTCCTTGACAGGAATAAATACACAAGTTAGCTGAAGACAAGATACAGGATTTCAGCTACCACAGGTCTTCCCAATACAGGATGCAAGAGCAAACCAAGACGGTGCTTCAACTTTGGGCTAAGCAACTAAGGAGGAATCTGAAACACTGCTCCTACAAGCAGGCATCCAACATATCTCCCTTTGCCAGCAACTGGCAGCAAAGTATGTGCTCACATAACCTGCCAGGATCTGCCGGTGTGCTACGTACCACTCGATTCAGTTCCGGGCCGTCAGGATTGTTGTCTTGGAAATACTCCACCGCCTTCTGGATTTTGTCCAAACAGGCCAAATACTCCACCAGCCTCCCTGAAGGGCTGCAGTGGAAATTGGGCATGGATGAGACGAGGAAGAAAGTGCAGACACTAATGATAAACTGGACGATATTTGGAACAAAAGCTTCCCGCTGAGATGAAAGGGGATTTTGCTGTTACTGAGTGTTCCCTTTAAATGCACAACTGGCATGCAGCGGGGCACTTACCCCAACTCAGTGTAACCATTGCTCAGTAATTACAGTGCACCCTGCCCTAAGCTGTGTGTGTTCATTAAGGGTCCTGCCCTTGACCCTTAGAAAACATTACACCTTTAACAGCAACCTTGGAATTGGCAGGACTTAGTCAACCTGCTGCTTTAGAAGCCTTTAAATTGCTGGCTCCTACTCAGTTTCTTAAATTATGCAGTTAAACAGGGTTCAAGCAGTGCAGGTGTCACTGAGTTTTTATGAGCTTAAGCTGTTTTGGCCCTTATCTGAGGCCCCTGACACACATTAACACTGAAGATGTGATTAACTTGTTAATCATGTCTTAAGTAGTGACATGGCCACATGTTCATTCCATTGATGGTGTTATAAAACCAGGAATAAGCAAAGTTATTACACATATTTTATGTAATAACTTCATTGCTAGTTCCTATCAGGTCTTTAATTGAACAGGTGGCCAGTGCTTTCAGTCTCTGGAGTGTAGCTGGGAGCACTGGTCAACTGACTGAGCGTTCCTCCTGGGGGAGCCCTGAGCAGCTGACAGAGCTCCCAGTTGCGGGAGCTCAGGGTGCTCCCCACCATGGCTGGAAGCCCTGATTGTGTTGGGAGCTCCCATCCATAGGGTCCACCATGAGCTCCCATGGCTGGCTGTGCCATCACCTGATGGAGCTCCCACACACAGAAGCAATGACTGCCAGGGCAGGAGGCACACAGGATCATGATCCCAGGCTCCCCCTGCCCTACAATATGGTATGATGGGATCTGATGCCTGATCCCACAATCACCTCCTGCTATGCATAGGATCTCACGCACGATCCCATCACACCTTATTTTTACTGTCTGTCAGTGGCCCAAGATGCAGAAAACTGAAGTTTGCTACAGCAAAAGCAACAGGTAATAAATTGGGATTAGCACTGTCATGCCATGAAGCAAAACAGCGCATTTATCTGAGACGTGCAAGTGCAGTACACTATTCCTCTACTGTGTCCTGATACATATGCAGCTCTTTCAATAGGCATTTTGGAACAGCTGGTTTTAAAAGATCCAGCTCACATATAAAATAGTGGGTAGCCTAACACTGCTGTAAGTTTTACTCTGCAATGCTACGGGAGGTTGGAGCCATCAGTCTCTCGCCAAACCAGCAAATGATGAGAATGCCGAGTAAGCAGAACACACAGCTTCTAGCAGAAAGGAAGCCATGCATATCACACAGCTGCGTTGGAACAATAACCTCCAAAAGAGGAAGCAGAGCCCCCAGTCCAACCTGCTTAAAAAGTCAGTGGAATCTCCCAGGAAGCTAGAGGTTTTGTAGGAAATGTGAGGAATGGAACCCACAGTCTGGCTTCGAACTTGGCCTGGGGACCAAGTGCAGAATCTGTATGAACAAAATGGAAAGAAGAGCAAGCTCTTCCCCTCAGGGGGCACTGTTGATAGGTCTGGCTGACATGCCTGCAGCATGCAGTGGGAGGAAGGTCCTGGAAATGTATAAAAGAGTACTGAGATCACTAAGATCCTTGTGGGATCCAACAACTCCTACTCTTCTAAACAGCAATGACATCCGGCAACACAGCTGAGGACAGCAGTGTACTGAAGCTGGACTCACCCTTCCTTTATGATCTTCTCGGTGTCCTTTGCCACATGGTAGTAGCTAATGACATGATCTAAGCAGGACAGGGTCTTCTCAACATTCTCCTGCAGTCGCTGCAGATTCTCAGTCTGCTTATGCACAGGGATGATTGAGTTCTCCAGCCTCATCAAACGACTCTCAAAGGAGGAGAGGATGGAAACCTACAAGCCAAAGGAAAAAGGGGAACAGACAGCAGAACTACGTTGTGGCCTAGCAATTAGAGAAGGGAGCAGGGAATCCTGAACTCCCAGCCTCTATTCCTGTTCTGCTATGGATTTACTACAGCTCCCTAGGCAAGTCACTTAACCTGTCTATCCTGATCCAATTCATCTCCTTTTCTCTAGGGCTAGGTTTCATAACATCAGCTGTGTCCCACTGGAACCATGAGACTGGCAACCAGTCATGGAAAGGCTCACAAGCATAGGAAGACAGACCCTTAAAGAGACAGACCTCAGCTACAGAACTCGTGAACAAATGAGTTAATCAAAAGCCACAAAAATCATTGTATTCAGGACTAAGTGCAAGACTCAGCTCTTCAACCCAGCTTGCTAATGAATTCCTCTTTAACAGTTAAAAAAATAAAAACAGAAAAACCCAACAACATAAACTTGTTGCTGTCTAGAGAAAGTTACTTATATTCCCACATACATGGGAGATGCTCAGATGAAGGGAGTTGTACAGGAACCTAGAGAGACTAGATCCTCACAAAACAACAGGCTTCTAACCAACTACCTTTATCACCTTTCCTCTTTCACCAAGAGGTCTAATGCATCACATATCTTATAACTCTTATATCAGGTACCAAAAACTGCATCAGTTTCCCCAAAAAATCCTACAAGATCTAGTCAGACAAACAAATTACTACCAAGTAAGATAGGGTGCAGGTTGGCAGATCAGCTACTGCATAATAACTGCTCATATGCATGCTATAACCCTGCAGCAAATACGACATGACCCTCCACAGAAGCAGGGAATGATGCTTCTCAGGTACTGCAAGACAACAGCACACACATGGGCAATTACCACAGAGCAGCTGAAACATTATAAATTCACACCCCAATTTATGTCTGGGTAATTTGTTCACTGGCCCATTGTTTTAACAATACAAACAAGATACTAAGCAAACTGTACCTTCCTTTTTTCACTGAATTCAAGGGATTTGACATACCATGTTTTTTGTGAGCTGATCACTTTTTTCCAGGCTCTCCTTTATAAAAGACAGTGTTTCTTCTTCCTGGCATTGGTATAGAAAGGAAAAAAATCAATTCTGCAGCACAGGTGAATTTCCAAAGCTCAGAGGCAAAACATTTCCCAGCATTTCTAACTCCTCCTAGAAGGAACATCTTGGCAAATCATTTTAAACCTAATATTTAGGTTCTGCTTAAATGTATTTACCCTAAAGAAAGCAACACAATCAGTGTAACTAAACACACAATTTAAATAAGGGAAGGTTTTCTGGGGTTAGGCTTTCTCCTTGGGCATGATGAGCCTCAATGCAATGATGTACAGTTTGCAGTCAGGAAGCTGGAAGCAAAATCTATGGCGCAGGTACAGAGCACAGACACAACTTCGGTCCTAGTGCCTGCTTCCTACGCTCACTCTGTGTCTGACATGCTCCAAGTTCAATTTAAACATGGCTCAGCAGTTTGCCTTGTGCCCACCAATGGACGCAGCAGGTACAAACTGAGCGGTAGGATAGGTTTGTGCCAGTCTGGCAGGGCACTGCATACAGTACATACCCCGAACTAACCTGTCTGCTGCATGCAGAGTGGGAAGAGCCAGATTCAGTCCATGCACCACATGCAGCACACAGGGCCAGGGCCAAGGGCCAGACCCAAACATGCCCTATGCAGCATATGGGGTCAGTCCAGGGATCCATGGGCTGTATCATAAGGCTCTGTAAGCTGGATCCAGCCTGTGGGCCATGTTTGACAAGTCTACTCTCTCTCTCATACACACACACACGCGCATTATATACACACTACATATATAGATAGATCTATAGCTAGACATCTATGGATAAGATATAGATATAGAGATCTCTATCTATATAT